GACTTGCATGTGCTGACAAAAAACAAAACATAAATAACATATAATACAGATAATTAAAGATTGAGTAAGTACTAACTAAATACTTACCATCGTGTTAACCCACTCAGTAGGCTTCGCAATTTGTAGGAAGAATTGATTGTTCACTGTATGACCAGTGACAATGCAAAAGTCGCTGTAATGAGAGCAATTGGTAATTGATTAGAATGAAAGTTTAAGGATAAATTGCTTTCAATACGATATAACTTACATGTTTCTTTCACGCGATAATAACTCCTGAAATGCCTTGAAGTGGTCTTGGTCAACTGTTTCGAGTGGTTTGTACACAGCTTTCGATCTGGATACAAATAGAGCTTTCACCTTTGAATCAGCGGTGTAAATATCTCGAATCTTGTCCGACCGTACACGTGCGCGTTTTGCTCTACTTCTTCCTCCTCTTCCTGTTCCTCTACCTCTTCGTCCTCTTCCTGTTCCTCCACTTGTTCTCCTTACACCAGACGATCCCTCAACTTCTTGTGGGGGTTTTGGAGTACAAGGGGTCTGCTGCGAAGCATCACTTGCATCCTCAGGCGCAGTATGGTAATCTTTACCTGCATTGGAGTCGTCCTCATTAGCCACACCCTACAAACCACCGTAACAATAAAGCGTATAACATATCAATGGTATACCTAGCGTATACCTAAACATATCATATGAACAACTTTAATGTCTGACCTGTGAATCCTGCGCATCTGTCTGCGCTTCATTTTTCTTATATGCGTAGCTCAATGGGTGAGGAGTCTGAGGTTTGTAGACTACTAAGGGGCCTGACACCAAATTTGTTCTACCACCATCCACCTGAATAAGTCATAAAAAACATAGCACATTACACCCACGTTATGAAACTTAATAGAGTCAGCTGCTCACTAAACAATTAGCTCACCTCGTTGAGGCCAGAAAGTGGAATTTCATCCAGAATGACGAAGTAAGGAGGTGGACGAGTTGTTCCTGAACTGGCTTGTCCCGGTTCAGGGGTCATCGTCGGAGCTTCTGGAGTCTTCAAGTACGCATGGTCCCTGGGAGAATAATGGTCCCCGCCGTAGTAAGTAGAGGTCCCTTCTTCATCATCTCTTTCTTTCTGGTGTACACCATCTTCGGGGTGTACACCATCATTATGGAGTACGCTAGACTGTGCCCCTCCATCTTTGGCTTCGTCTTCATCCGCTTTTTCACCATCTTTTTTTGTATTCTGTCCTTCGTCATCCTGTTCCCCATCTTCTTTTGACTGGTGTACATCGTCATCTTCTTCGTCCTCTTGGTATACGCCCAATCTCTTGTCCAACTCGGTCTTAATCTCACGAAGGAGCAAAGTATTCTGAAGTACTATCCATCTTTTAAGATCTTTAATCTGTCCACTTTTAGGTGTTTCATCTTCCGATATATTAGAAGAGTTCTTGCCCCTGCCTCTCTTCCTCTGCATCTTACGTTTTTCAGTTTGATGGGTTTTCTGTTTCTTTTTCGGTCGGGTGGATGGCTCAAGTTCCTGTTCATTGGTAACCTCGTCCTCTGCATCACTAATATCCACGATAGGTGCCGGTGCCACTGCAAAATCCGAAGGTGTGAATTTGTACCCCTCGGCCATGAGTTCCTGCATGAATGCAACTTCGGCATCCCCTACCTCATCTCCCCAACGCAATTCATTCTGTTGGTCATTCTCACCATCATCCACTACCATCTGTTTCACAGACAACTAAGACAAAAAATATACAATTGCAAAATTACCAACCAAAATGACAGAGCACTTATCTTTTAGAGAAGTACTACAAAATAAGACTACAAATAGTACTAAATATAATACTACAAATAATTTACCAGAGGGTCGGATTCGACGGCATGTATGTCCCCAAGATGCAACAGTGTGATAACGTTTTGACAGCCTTCGGGATCTTCAAGGAATGTCTTCAAGTTATCAGGTTGAGGAATTTTGGAAACCAACATTGATATAGATTGGAGGGCCATGAGTTGTAGTGATAGAGGGAATCCATAGCATGCACTGGTTTTCTGTTTAAGTTGACGGCGCAATCGTGTTACAGGATTCTCCCTTTTCTCGGCATCCGTGCTTGCCTTCGGAGCTTGAAAACGAGATACTGTTTTGTTAAAGGATACCCTCCCCTATGGATACAGCATGAACCTATCCAAGTCGCTCAACATCTCAACGTATTTCTCTGTGAGGGCCAGATTTTTGCTATTGCAAAACAGAACACCGTCGACAAGAACGATTAGGGCCAATGGAAGCCGTTTCCATCGGGGTAGATCCGGGTCCTTTAGCATTCAAGCACATCATACACGTTCATAGTCTTCGCTCTTCCGAACAGGTCTTTCCAGATTCCTGTTTTCCCGACTTCTTCTTCTTCTTCTGTGCTATCAGGTTCGGGATTGCAATTCAATCCAGTGATTTCCTTGAACTCCCGTATCGAATATCTCAGAGGCTGTCCACCAAAGAGGAACCAAATCTCGTGTTTCTTCGTCATCACAAGTTGTCGTGATAGAAGGGCATGGACAAGTTTGGCGCTGTTGCAACATCTTGCAACAGGTAGATGGAATAACTTCCCAAACTGGGAATGAAGTAGCTTCTCAAGATCTTCAGTACCCTTTAACGCCTCGACAAGGAGGCCAATTACATTGGCCTTTGAATATATGTTCAACCGAGCACCAACGGGGTAGCAACCATCGCCGATGACTCTTTTTGGTAGTTTTTCCGAAATGTTATTTGAAGCTTCTCCATCTTCCATGCCTGTATTTGAAGGTTCTCCGTCTTCCATTCCTGTATTTGAACGAAAACAACAATTCTGAAATGTACGAAAAGATATAGTATTCTGGACAAACAGTGAAATGCAAACCCAGGGGAAATGTTTGAGGGAAAGGAGTTCGAAGGAGTTCGAAAGAGAGAACATATATCTGGGAAAACTACCCTATTCGTATGCTCTCCTATAAAAACTTCTGTAAATGTTTCTAGATGATATAAGAGTAATCCAACCGTTTGAAATCAATATGTAGACATAAGTACTACAGTTCATAACCGCTAATCCATAAATGAAGCCAATCAGCGCCCCGTTTCAATCTTAATTTTAATTACAAACCGTCAGTACAGTTCAGACAAGGTTGAAGTTCATAAATGTAACTTACTTTTAGAATTCTGAGCAGACCATTCTAGAAGAAGAGGAGCGAATTGTACTTTGGCTCTACACCGCCGGCGTGGATTCAGACGACTCGAGTGAATGGGATGTTCAACCCGGTCACTCCGCCGCGGTGGCACGGGCGGCATGGGCGAGTGGTCCGTCGGAGCTGTCTTCGAGTTACTCCGGAGCACGCGCCTCGATACCGGAGGCACAGTGTTGTTGCGCCTTAACGATTTTTTTACTTTCCGCGCCATTACAACGGTAAATCGGATGGCTAATCGGAGATGGATTGCCGGAGATGGTAGATAGACGACGTCCAGATTTGGATCCCAAATTAAATTTTTATTTTAAATGTTGGGGTGTCGATAAATTATACATTTGGTTTTACTTCGGTTTATGATATTGGACTTCGGTTGATAATTTTGTGTAATCGGTTTACGAAATCGGATTTAATCAGGAATTTTTAGTTATTTTACTTCGATAATGGCAATTCCGAAAATAAAATTTGCCTAAGGGTCCTTGTGGGAAAACAAACAGTAAAAACAGCCTTTTTCTTCTATGGTTTTCAAAACATCCTATTCCTCAAATTTAAAACTTAAAAATACCCATTCAGCAATTTTCTCTTTAAAATAGCCTTGCATTATGGGAATGAGGAAAGAGGGCGCTAGAAAGAATGTCTTCTTTGATGTTACAAAAAACAAAAAAAAAATGTCTTCTTTGAGTGGAGAGGAAATTGACAAAAAGTGCGACATTGCCTCTCTGTAAAAGATACCTATCATTGTGCTATAAATTAATAATGGATTGAAACATTAATAGATCGACAGATAAAATATTAGTGAAAAAGAATGTTAGATCTACGATTAAATCACTACTATGACAATTGGCTTCTATAGTTACGGAAGTCTAAGATAAAATTCCAAACAATTACTATGACAATTGGCTTCTATAGTTACGGAAGTCTAAGATGACAAATTTTGTAAAATCGTTTACAAAGAGATAGCTGGAAAGCTCAAATTGAAGCAAAAGACTTTTTTTTTTCAAGAATTTTGTAATTGAGATACAACGAAGGAATATATTTTTTTTCTGTAAATACAATAACTAGGTTTGGTAAGGAAAATTTATTATATAGAGCTTAAAGTGGATATCTAAAGAAAATGTTATTTAATTTTGTTAAGGAAAATCAGACTCTCAAGAGCTTATTGGAGCTATTGACTTGGGAATCCGTCTAAAAAGAATCTACGGTATTCTTCATAACATTGTTCACATTTTTACTCATTTTCTATTCTTATCTTTCTCTTATATTTTCAAGAACGCTAACTGTTTAGCAGATTCTCTCTAACTTATTAGGGTCGTATTAATTAATAAAATTCTTCCAAAAAAAAATACAAAAAAAGGCACGAGAGATCAGCGTCGTAAGCTGGAATTGAGAGTCATTATAAGAAGAATGCACATAACATCTTCGACAGAAACTATGCAAGTGATTTTCTACAGCAAAAATCTTGGTGAATAACTGAATATGTGTTAAGGTTTAGGCAAAGCTATCTAGTGTGTATGATACACTGGATTTCTCAGTAGAACAAATCTAATTCCCAATGACGACTCAGTGATCAAAGAAGTTTCATCATGAACAAACCTAAATATGCTTGAAAGACTACAAAAACCTTTTCAAGCTTTATGAATTCCTTGACCGGGTCATATATGAAGAAGATTGATGAAAAACCGAGCCAAGCTAGTCCAAATCCAACTCTTGACACACACACCAAGAAGATCTCTTTAAAAATCCAAGTATAACCTTTTATTCAATTAATAAAATGAAGATCCACACTAAGATCGGAACTACAACCATCAACTAAACAGATGAATACGATTAAGGGGATTTAGTGGCATTTAAACGAAATGTAATGGTTCTGTACAATGAATGTTTTATAAACACTTTTTGAGTTAGAAGAACCCATTATGGAGAAATTTCAAGATTCACAAGAAATGCCATTGCCAATAAACTTTGTCTACGATGCCTCCGCCAGTTCGAACCGCAAGGTGAAGCCTTTCTGCAGCCGGAGGAACACCCCAGAGATATGGAACCGCCACCGTCATTGTCAGCTTCTCTTGTAAACCTCCTTTGCTCTCTGTCTCTGTAGCAACAACCTTTAACGCATGCAAAAGCAGGAGTTAAATTAGACTTGAGATGAGAAAGATTTTGCATGGCGAAAAGGAGTAAGAAAACTCAAACCTCTCCACCATGTTCTAAGACAGTGTCTTCAACAACATCACTAAGCATCTCAACGGAACGGCAGAAACCATAGATACAGAGTCTTCTTCCCATATCAAGTCCCTGACATTTTTAAACAGTGAACTAAATGCCTGTGTGTTTCTAGTGTTTAAAACCAACAAGAATAAGGAAGAGTTGCATACGTTTGTAGCTGCGATGTCGAAAAGAGCTCCGAGACATAGACCTTGTGCAGGATCCATGTATGCACTTTCTTGAAACTTTTGATGTTTTTCTGGTGATTTGGACCTCCCGTGTTTCTTCTGTCACAAAACACATGATTCATTCTCTCCCGGAGATGATTGATTACATAAAGAGCAAAATGACACAACTTTAAGCTAAGAAATGTCAGGCAGGAACACACGCAAAAAGCTAATCAAAGCCAGGGAAACAAAATTAAGAGGAAACGGAAATGCATACGTTAGATGATTTGACGCGGCGAGGAACCATATTGCCTCCAATCTGAATGAGCCCATCAGAGGTGAAAAGTGTAATTCTTTCTTCAGGAACCCATTCAATGGCTGTACAAATATAAATGCAATCGTTTTAATCAGCCAAATTCCAACGTGATCACACAACAGAAGTCCAAAGTTCGGATCTTCTCACTAATGTCACACCAAGAAGCTACACTGGTTTGATCACAGCAGTCAAGAATGATCAATAAACATCCTCTGAATCAAATTACGCATTGATTGAAATCAGATCACAATTCGACTTCGGTATTCTCGAATTTTAAAGCCGATCGCCTCCGAAAGTTTCAACCTTTTAAATCGTATATCGAATTGTCGAATCACATTTCTGACCAATGGATCAGTAGGATCCGCAATCATGTAAAAAGATGGTAATTTTTAGAAACAAAAAGACGAATACCGTTATTTCCATCGGACCATGGAAAGAAGCTGAAATCATCGTCATCGGAGAAGCCACCGTAAGGTGATGCCTTGGCGGCGAATCGAGTCGAACGAAACGGCCGAGCGCGAGAAGTGAGCGGGAAACGAGAAGAAGTAGCGGAGGAAGGGGACGAAGAAGCGGTGTCCCAGACGCGAGAGATGGTGAGGTGAGAGAAGAGAAGCGCAGAGGTCTCCGCCATAACCAGAGAATCACAGAAACAGAGCAAAGATGCGTGAGGAGGTGGAAGAGACAGGGAAGAAGAAGAGCGAGTCTACGCCACATGCTTTTTAAGCCGATGCTATAACCACGTGCCAATGTCTGATTTTTTCTTAGGGAAAATTGCAAACAAAACCCTCGTACTTTCAGTTGTTTGCAAATCCACCCTCATCTGGCTACAATTGCCAAAAATACCATTCAAGTCGTTAGAAACTGACGTACTTTCAATCGAATTTTAGAATCATATTTATTTATGTGCAATTTTGTCTTTATATTAGACAAGGATTAGCTTTCAAAAAAAGCTGAATGTCAGATTTAATGATAGTAAGCTTGACGTCAGGATTAGGGGTAGAATCTCTCATTGGTGTCAGACCAATCAATTGTAGACATTCTCATAGGCTTCTCTCTTTCTGTTCTAGCCACTTCAATACAATCCATAAGACATCACAAAGCTCTCATTTGGTTTGTCCAACTTTGTATAAGTGTAGCTTTATAGAATCTCTCATTTGGGAATATCAATGAAAGAACATATACAACGCAAAGGAATTCGAGAAAATGGATACTCTTTTGACAAATTTGATGAACTAAGATCAGATGCCAGAAATGTCTTGTAACTTGTAAGAGGCATGAACAAAAACAAAAAGCATCCTTTACACCATCTCGCACAACAAGTCACATAACTCTCTACATACAATCTGTGTACTTGACTCGTTCCGATTTCCTTATGTTTAGCGTGTCCATCTTATGAACAGATACAATATGACAAGTGTTGCGATCATACCGGCGTATTTGATCCAGGTGTCAACACGATTGCGCCTCTCAATGAGCCTCAGTACAGAGTTGGAGAGCCCTACGGTGTTCAGAACATCCAAAGCTTTACGCTGTGCCCTCTGTGAATTCAAAATAAAAACCCCAATGTTAATGGCATCAAAAATGTGACTTGGTGCCATATATAATAATGAAGACTCAGTTTCGGGTAGAGTTTACCTTCAAACGATCCCTTTGTTCAGCATATTTGGAGAGGATAGCAACTCCACTTGAATATGAATCTTCAAGCAATCTCTTTGAATTCTTCACAGAGCTCATTGCTTGAGCCTCCTCATCGAATATTTGCAAAATGTGAGCTCCTTCTCCGCTCCTTCTGCCTAACAAATCCGCCTTCTCTTTAGCTTCCAGCATCTTTCTCTGATTCCTCCACATGTATTTTTCCAGACTTTGGTTCAAATACTCGGCCTCTTCTCCCACTTGTTCAGTCTTTCTGCAAAACGCTATTGATTTCAACATAGATTGACAAAGAATAGAAGAATCTGAAGAAACTACTCTAACGTCTAAGCACAATACTCAAGAGATTCAGAAACCAATCATTTTGGATGATCTATGAAAATGTGTGTAAAACTTGGAACTTTTCAGTCATCTCAGATCACCAACGACGAATTCGTATATGCGAAGTGGCGAAGAGTATATAAATAACCATTCTTTTAGATTCAATTCAAGAAAAATCAACAAGACCCCTAAGACCTTACTCTTCGATTCCCCGATAGTTTCGATATTTCGTGATCCACTTCAATTTCTTGAAATTTCGGTATAAGAAGAGAGGATCAAGAATTTAAAACACGATTTGCTCACCTTCTCCAGAGATCGCGCTGGGATTTAACAGAGATTGAGCGCCAGAGACTGTCCATGTTGGAGCAGAGAGATTGAACCTCAGTGATGTCTCGTTTCACAGAGGAGGACAGATCAGAAGAATCCATAGGAGCACCGGACTCGAACCTCTCCAACCTCTCGATTCCATCACGAGCCCTGAGTAGAGTCCTTTTCGCACTACTATATACCTCAGACAAGGATCCACCTTCTCCGACGATCCCAGACGCCATTACACCACTCAAATCAGATGATCCTCGTCGCCGAAGCGCGTCTCTCAATCAGAGCTACATACGTAGACATCGATCGATACAATGAGTAAATAACAAGCTAAGTCTGGGCAAGAAAAGAGTGCAGATCGAATATCGAAAAGGGAGATATCAAGTCACCTGAGAAGACGAGAGGTAGACGAAGAAGAAGACTCTTGAATCTTGTGGTGGCGTCCTGGAAATGGCTGCCGGATTAGCGCCAGCAAATTGATCGGAGAACAACGAGAGGGATCGTGTTTTAACGGAGTAAAAGAAAAACAAGAAAAGGGCTTGATGATGATCTGTTAGGCCCATTCTATGTTTTCTGGGCCTGAAGGAGTTATCTTTTATTGTACTTTTTTTTATATCTGCCAGATTATTACCATCGATTTCTGCCTCGTAAATTTTTTGTGAAACATTTTTGATCTTCATTGTGCCTGAAAAATAATGTGATGTGGATGCTGGAAAAAACTATCAAAAATCAAAGTTTGATTATTCTTTGAATAACACTAAAGATAAGTCTTTCTTTTTGTTTTCTTCTCAACAAAGTTACAACAGCTTCAAAATGAATGAAAGGGAAATGTTTTCTTTTATAGGCCTAAATACTTCAATTGAAAACCTAAGCTATCTTTGATTTTTGTTCATTTTTACCTTTCCTATGACTTATATCATAAAACGCCAAGCCCTACCACATTTCACAATCAAAAAAGTCATGTTCACATGCATGTGCGGATCGATACCTCACTCACATACAGTCAATTAAAGTATTCACAATATTTTGTATACCTCAGGGTTTCTTTTCTCACAAATACAGGTTATACGTACAATTTTTTTTTTCAAATTTAGTTGAGCTCTAAACTAGTTACATTTTTATATATTCTTCATAATGTTCTCATACATACATTTTTAGCATTTATTATATACAGTGCAACTTCGACTATGTACTAGTGAAAATCATATATCACCTATGTAGATTATTTGTTGACAGATCTGAAAATTTTTATAAAGGAGACGTAAGTTAATATTAATTAACTTTTGGTTGTATATAACTGAAATGATATTTAAAACAATCAATGCTAGGAATGTATGTATGAGATTCATTTAAAACATTATGCAGGTCAAAGCAAATCAAATGATTCTAGACTTTTAAGTAGGTATCTCTATTGAATGGAGATAATTAAAGATCGTCTTAAGAATGGTAATACGAACGTTGGAATAGTTCTTCCAATCAATCAGTAAGGTAAACATGATCAGATCGATATATATGGACATATATAGGTAGTAAAATGTCTTCACAAAAAACAATAAGGTCGTTTCATATACTATCTAGTCATTCGCTAGTTGTCACAGGGACGTGAATGAGATGGACCCTTGAAACTCTAGCTACTACCATATTGCGTTTTTTTTTTTGTTATTTCGGTTAAATGATAATGAAGGAATAATATAGAGTGAAAAGTACAATAATGATAGATCATAAGTAAAAAATTAAAGAATAGAAGAGAAGGTGGAAAATGGAATTATATAGTGTATATATGATAATGAAGGAGCATTAAGGCACACGTGAAGTTCACATGTTGTCCATTTGCCAAAGGGCCAACCTTTGTTTTTCTATCTCACCCTATTCGTTTTCATTGCTAAGTGATTGACATTCAATTTATCGGTTTTGTTTGTTTTTTTTTTTTCATATGATTAATTCATATATACCGAGTTTTAGGAGGAGCTACTCGCTAATCAAATAAATGATGCTATTGTGTGATTGTCAACCGATCACAGGGAACAGTTTATTTTACTAGATTTGTTTTGAAGTAATCAGATAGTCCAACTTAATTAATCAGACGTTTAACTAACTATTGCGTTTGATTTTATTAAAGAACAAAATATACTGAAACAAAAAAAAAACTACATATTTTACCACAGGAACCGTATGTTCATGCATCCAAGTAATTTGTTAAACTTTCGACTTTTGGAAGAATTTTAATACTCAAGTGATAATTTCGGATATCTATCTTAATTTATTAGTCGTAAATGCCGTACAGTTGTTAAATCAGATAGCTTCTCATATGTTTGAACTTTATTGGTTTTATTAGCACTAAACTCAATCTCGTCAGGGGTCATATATTAACTTGTCGCATAGTACTATGGGACCGGAGGTTAATCTAACAAATCCGAACCAGCTGTATCATTAACAAAATTAATCAAATTTGTGAATGAGTCTTCAATAGGATGACTAATAATACCAGTAAATTTTGGATTAAATGTTGAAAACATAAAAGTGTTGGGTTTATTTTGGGAATAAAGATAGTTTTACGTAAATTATTGGTTGAGTGGTCTAATAAATGGATAAATAAAAATTATAAAAGCATCTGCAAATAAACAAAAAATGCCATCTCATGACCGTACGGCCAAACAATTAATTAACTTTTTTTTGTTAAAGGGTAAACAGTTAGGGATTTAACATGCAAATACAGAAAGCGTTCATAAAAGAAGAAAAAGATCAAATCATTGATTGGAAGACAATTCACTCGAAATAAAGTCTCAATTATATTTCTAGTGAAAATGAAAAATATACACTTCGAGCACGCTAACCTTATGAAAAAATGAATAACAAAAATATCACTACAAAATAAATCATATATAAGGTTGATCATAGTGGAACACATAAGTTATGTGTCATACTATATCATTGCTTAATAATTTGTCAAGTTGTAGACAATATACACAAATATGTGTATATATCCAATATATATATGTCTTTTTCATTACAAAAAAAAATCTAGGTTTGCCAATTAATAGAATACCATGATATGGGTAATTAACGGCCAATGTCATTCAAGCAGTCGTTGGTTTTAAAAAAATTAATATAACAACAGCTAACGGATGCAACAATAACATTTTTGCCATTATTTAATCGTGGTTTACGAGAGATACTACCACCTGTTTAGAGGAGATCACATCTGATTTAATCTGAACCTAGGACTAGGAGAGATAGGAAGTGGTGACACATATGAACAATCCAAACACAGATGAATTTAGAACTAACATGCTCACACATGCATCCCCACCCGATTAGTAAGTTCTATATTTTTAATGAAAATGTTGTATATTGTTTTCCATGAAAATAAACTACATTTATTAACTTATAATAATCTGTTCTATTTAACAAAAATAAAACAATTAACTAACAGCACAAGTTTTATCGCAAATCTTTATAAGCTGAAGCCTTGATAGAACACACGGTATTTTAAAGTATTTTAAATTTAATAGCTATAACAGTTTTAACCGTAGACAAATATCCGGAACGTTAATGGCTAAAATGTTTGTTTTCGTGCTGTATAAGCAATTAAATATTAAAGTAAAACTTGTTTACATTATTTTCATAATATTATTATATTTTTATTAAATATTAAAGTTAAAATTTTGTTTACAGTTTTTTCTTTTATTCCTTATTATTAACGTTTTATCCTTTAAATACACATAAGCCAATGGTTTATTGTTTGAAGTTTTATACTAACATTACTACAAGAAAGATTGGGTTTTACGTCGGCAGATATCGACGTAAAATCGACGTAAAAGAGCCTTTACGTCGAATTAACGATAAAAAAAAAATCGTCGTAAAACCGAAATCGTCGTAAAATCGTCGTAAAATTACATCGATTTAACAACGATTAGGAGACGAACAATTTCAATTAAGGGAAACTAATTTTTTAATTGTCGATGTTAATTTGTCGTAAAGTTTCGACGTAAATCCGACGTAAACATATTCGACGTAAATTCGTCGTTAATAATTCGACGTTAGATCGACGTAAATTTACGACGAATTTACGTCGATTTATAAATTTATATTCGACGTAAATTCGTCGTTAATAATTCGACGTTAGATCGACGTAAATTTACGACGAATTTACGTCGATTTATAAATTAATTATTTAATTCGATTTTAATTTAATTATTGAATTTTTAAAATAATTAAAAAATTAAAAATAGAAAAAAACAATTTAAATTGAAATTTAAATTCGAATAATTTATAAATTAAAGAAAAAATTTAATACAAATTGTTTTTTACAAAAAAAACTAATCTACAATGTGATTTCGTAATCGTCGAGGTTGAGATTGACGTCACGAGGAGGCTCTCCGTCTTGGCCGCCCGTCGCTGCTAGACCGTCGTTTCCCGTCTGCACTACTGGAGCCGAAGACTGACCCTGCGTCTGCTGGTCCGATGGTCCAGTACCGGAAGTACCACCGGTCTCAAAAATATTTAATAAATTATAGCAATAATTAAAATTAAAATAATAATGAAATAATTTATATTTAATTACTTACCATCATGAGACGTCTTCCCGCAAAAGATATTTGACCAGAAGTATGCGGGGTCACTAACTTCGGGCCACCCACCGGATCGACCCGGTTTCGGACGGCCGAACACTTAGCCGCAGTGGTTTGGGCATGCGGGTCCAGCCAATACGCCTTCAACCCGTTCCAACAGGAAGTGGACATGGAGCTCGGCTTTGCGTCGTCTCCATCGGTCTCCCACTTCCGCTTCCAATCGGAAACGGTGTTGACTAGGCGTTTCTGCGCCTTCAGCCGGAAAGCTTCGCGGACCGTCTCGTTGATCCCGATGTCCCAGTTCCACCGTTGCTGGAAAAAAAAACAAAAAATTAGATAAACAATATAAAAGTAAGATTAATTAAATTTAAAACAATTTCAAATGATATAAATAAAATTTTAAAAACATTATCGCGAAGCACTTGTACCAGGTGTCGAACGTCTCTTGCGACACCTTGCTCCAATTGTAGTGCGGCTCCACGAAATGACTCTTAATTGTGTCGGAAACGCTCCGACCAACACAATTATCCAAATCAAACATATGAAAACAAAAAAAAACTTATTACATTAATATTTAAGTAAATTAAAGCATTAATTTTAAAAAATATAAAAAACAGAAAAGTTTACTTACCAATAAGAGCTTGGTTCCGCTTTTCCGGGAACCAGACGTCGTAAAGCTCCCTGTCTCGGTAGGGTAGTAAATCCTCAACCGTAAACTGGGCATACGGATGAGGAGGGGCGGTTACCGGTTCGGCAGCCGGCGGTGGAGGTGGTGGTGGAGGCGGTGGTGGAGGCGGTGGTGGAGGCGGTGGTGGAGACTGCTCCGCGGTATTCGGAACCTGGGAGGCTCCGGAAGATGAAGGGACATCGGTCTCGGTGTTTCCCGAGGCAGACGCCCGTGAAGAGTGTCCGTCCGCCATGAAATTGATGTAATGCGTCTTCCGTCGAGTCATCGTCTGCAAAACCAATAAATTTATTTTTCAAATTAATTACAATTAATTTTTAATTACGATCCTAAATCTAACAAATTCCGATCCTAAATCTAATAAATTCCGAGCCTAAACTAATTCTCGATCTAAACCGTTTGAATT